GTGTAAGCTGATACATTATATCTTCGATAACTGAGTTTAGACGTCGAGAATTTTCAAAAATAAAAATATATATTTATGCGTGTAGCGTAGTATCCAGTGTGATCGTAAATCCCGAATATTTTCTATCAACTTTTATGGACCCGTGTCATAAACAGAGTATATATTTAACGAAGTTCAGATTTAATTGTTGTGTCGATCAATTTGGCAAAATGTTTAGTATTTAATAAAAAAAATTTATCAAATAATATATATAATTAAAAATTTAATTTCACTTCAGTAACCTAATAGAAGCAGAAAAAGAAAGATTACAGTGGCTCAACGAAAATCAATTAGACTTTTTCTATTTTTAATATATATTCTATTCATTGAATTTGATTGGCCTGATTTTTTAGTAAAATATTTTCTATTCAGATTCATTGAAAAAAATCCATGGACCGTCTCACTGAGGAAATCGAATGTAGAATATGTCAGAAGACATTTTGAAAAGTACCACAATGGAGAAAAAGTTAAATATATTATGTTTGACTTACTATTCAAAAAAAAGACGATTTTTTAAATCAATACTTTAAATCTCTTGATAAAACAAATAAACTCTACTCAAACTGATTTTTAGACTTACTTCGAAAAGCAATATTTAATCGATATGATTCGAATTTCTGAAGTTTAAAAAAGTTATTTTGTTCAGCAACGCAAAAAAAAAGTAAATTGTTATTGTTTTTTGCTTATTCGCTATCATGCTAATCTTTGCCTTAGACATTTAGATTCGAATGATTTTCATCTTATACTAGAAGCTAGAATCTCTTCAAGACTACATAATATTTACTGAAATTCTATTCTGATACTTTAGAAAATATTTGTAAAAATACACTTTATTTTATCTCTCTAATGTATGTCATAAGATAATCTAAGACTCAACTCAATTATTCAACAATGAAACTAATCATCGACCGACCTAGTCAAATCTCGAATAGAAGATTAAACTAGTCCTTCATCAGATCGAGGAAACAGTTAACCACAAAGCTCGAATCAGTCATCTAATCAATGACAGATCTAGGTTAGTTTTCAAGGTATTATGATAAAGAAATGTTATTTCAATGAGTAAAATTATCAATTGATAAGATAAGGAATAGTCTCAGATTTGATATGCCTTTTTTATGCAGAATAACAACTTCAACGTAAACCATTTGATTACTGATCTGGAGGGTACATTCAGTGTGTGATTCATAACTTTTCAAAGGTAAATCAGAATGAGCTTAAATTTTGGATTTATACCTTTCCCACTTTCCTCTTTTATTTCCAATGATAACATATAGGAGTGAAAATTTTCGAAAGTATGGCCCTATTGAAAAATGTCCAATTTTCTCGTGGACCATCTATTAAGAAACTTTCTCTCAATATAGTCGTTCAAGATAAACTAATACTGAGATTGTCCGCAGGTAACTCACTCACGTTTTGTCAAGTTTCGATTTGAATTTCTCTCTAACGGTAAAGCGTAAAGCCTTGAAACTTGGTGCATATATGCATCTTGCAAAACTGTACAACCACTATAAGTTTCACCCTGATCGGCTTTATTATTCAAATTTTACAAGGAAAATACAGGACAGTAACGCACTCACAAAAAAGGCCCTTCCCTTTCTTAGTGGTATCAGAAATGTTAAGATTCCTGCGAATGGTTCAGTTATTAAGAGATATGATTCATAGAAAGTTTGTAGCAGAAAATTAGGGCTATCCAATGGTAAAACAATCTTCTAAAAATATTGTGCTGCTTTAGACCTGTAGTCAAAATATTACGGTAACGCACTCACGTTCTGGTAACGCACTCACTTTTTCATATTCTAATTTTTTTTCCTGGCGGACTTGTTGTTTTCTCTCACACTTCAGACGTGTTAAAATAGCTTTCTTCGACTTTGGTAGCAAAATTATATAAGATTTCACAATAAAAAATAGGATACGAAATAGTGTCGTAGAGCTAATGTTTGTGCTTCCATAACTGTTAGTATATCACAAGTACTTTTCCGTTATCTGTTAAATCACTCTTATAATCGATACTGAATAGCATATTTCGTCCAGAAACAAGAATGTATGAATTTTATATCTATTTCTTTGACAAAATATTATTGAAAAATTGTTCTAGTTGAAATATTCATTTATTAAGTTTTTATGCCATATTTCAATCGAGTAATGGTTTCGGTTTTCGTTTCATTTTGTCATTTCTTTGCGAAAAAGGAGGAAATAGCCAGTCGAGATTTCTATGAAATATATGATGAAGGTGCAAAATGTAATTCACACGTATCCTCAGTCAACATATCAACCGATCAAATATGAATTGGTGAACTCCTAAGCTCCGATGGTAGGTCTACCTGCCAGACCTAATTTAACCTAAAGCCTGATACGTGCAGCCAAGAGAAATCATGGCTTGTTGACATCTCTATAAGATAGCAACATTAATAAATCATATTGAAAGCCATTTATTATAGAAGCAATCCATCTCATCAAACATACATATATGGGGTTTAAAACATGGAAGTGGGTCGGTAAGGTGAGTGCGTTATCATTTTTTTCGGCAGAAAAAACATGTAAGTAAAAACCAATCTAGCCCTTTGATAGTTCATGGAAAGGTAACGGAAGTTCTTAAGTATCAACTTAAATGCTTGTATGATTGTGGCGTAAACTAAACTAAAAGCCCTAATCGGTAACGCACTCACTTCAGATTTTATGGAGTTTTCAGATATTCCCTGTTTTTTTTCTACTACTCATAAAGCAGCTGAAAATTATATCAGAAGAAAGTCCAAACCTCGCCATGCGTAATATATATGACGCTTCAATTTTTAGTTAAAATTCTGTTCTTTTTTCAAAAGTTTCTTCAAAAGCACGAAAACGGATAGGTATTTCAAGAAGTCTACCTATGTTGTCTGTCGTGCATCTTTTCTCTCCTTTATGAGAAAAAAAAGAAACGACTACATTTTCTGACAGAGCAAAGTGTTCGCTACAACATGATATAGTCAGCCTTGAGAAATAGATAGGTTCTACTTTAATCAGTCTGGTTGATCGTTAGCCGGACAAGCTCTACTCTAAGTTTCTATGCTCTTTGATCATACTTCAACTAATATAATAATAATAATAAAATAGAAAGAAGATAAGATATAAAAGGTAGATAGAGAGTTGTGCTTTTCATCATTTGAAAGAGAAGATCAAGATCCATCAAATCGTAAATTATAGATTTTTTTATATGACTTTTTTAACGTTTTCAATAAACCTCTTTAAACACAAACTTATCCAGTGAGGCATATTCAGTGAATTGTTAATTATCAGGTGTGTATTCAAATCACTAATGGAAAGTCTACAAAAGTCCACAATGTTCACATGTTTAGAATTAATCATTCAGGAGTTAGAGATATTTCAGTCGAACTTTTAACTTTATTTTTCTGATAATTTCTGTAAAAAAAAAAGCGTTTTTTGCTGTTTCTTTTTTCATAAGAAACCCTTTTTCGACACTTAGAAAATTGCTTAAACAAACTTCCGACAACATACTAGGAAAACGTATAATTTACGATTTGATGTATCTTGATCTTCTCTTTCAAATGATGAAAAACGCAACTCTCTATCTGGCTTCTATGTCTTATCTTCTTTCTATTTTATTATATTATTATTATATTAGTTGAAGTATGATAAAATAGTATAAAAATCTAAAGTATTATTTTCTCTTGAACGACTATATTGAGAGAAAGTTTCTTAAAACTTCTTATAATCAATTTCAGTACCACTCTTACTAGTTTTCGATTGCTCTATGTATTAATATTGTCATTTTCATATCACTCAGAAATATACTATTCATCCATGGAAAATAAATTATGAACATTTCAATGACGATTTCTCTTTCTCAATTTCACGTTATTTTAGATTTTCATTCGAGATTTGTCATAATGATGCATATGACATGTTAACACATAGAAGAATACATTCTTGAGGACGATATCAAACAAAATACTCACTAATCGCGCTAACAAGCCACTCGAAGTGTAAAACGACAAAAAAAACTGATCATTTTCAACAACAACTTGTGTACCACTCATCACTCTATATACAAGAGAATCTTTCATAAAAGTGACAACATTATGACAAACATCAATAAAACAAATCTATTCTATGCCATTGAACAATTAGTAAAAGTCAGATATCTACATATCAACTCAAACGAAGAGGAAAAATCTAGCCTCTTAATTTAAAGAGTTCTAGATGTAAAAACATAGAAAACACAAATAGATAGATGTTATCTGACAAACAAAAATTATTTATATTAAGTTCATTTCTCTTGTCACCGCAAATTCTTACAGTACAAACTAAACTTTCTTGTTCGTAGTAAATCAAATAAAAAAAGTTTCATATCTATATAAAATAAAAATAAGACCATTACACAGGCTTTGCGCGACTTTCCTTTCCATTATACTTTCTATACGTTGAGAAAAGAAATATTTTTCTGCATCCTTCAAACTTATTGATTAGATCTGAGAGGAATTATTTTGTCCATTTCAACTCTATTCATTAAGACAATGAAAAGTTAAAACTACCTAATGAAATCCTTGAGAAAAGTCGGAACTAGTTTAGTCTTTCTTTTCCATGGATATACACACACACATATACTCAAGTTGAAAAAATTCGAAAAACTTCCTCTGACGATTTTAAATAGAAGAATCACTATGTGCAGATAGAATTACGCTTTATTTAGCTTGTTCATATCGAAATAAAAAGAAAAAGAATCAAGAAGAGATGGTTAATGTTGCATAGTAACGACAAAAATGAGAACAAAGAATGTGATAAAAATAAATGATAAGAGAAGGACAAGACATATGATAAGGAAAGGTTAAACTTCATGTATAAACAGTTTGACAGTTTTAGAAAGTAAGTAGACGTTGATAACAATTCCTGACATCACCGCTACATTGTTGTCGATATATTTTAGCCTAATCAAGAACAATAATAAATGGTAATAAAAGTGATTATTAAGAAATTTTTGACTTACCACATCGAAAAAGAAGAACTCGATGATTATTCTGATCAACAACATATAAATTGCCCATTGTATCGAGTCTCATACCTCTTGGAGAATTAAAAGCTGAAGATAGAATAGTAGTTCCAGTTGTAGAACCAAGTGAAAATTTTTGTATTCTATTATTTCCTGAATCCATGATATACCTATTTAGTATATACGATGAAAAAATATTCCTATAAATAATATCTCATTATAGAATTTACATAAAATTATTTGAATCAAAAGTAATTGTCGTAGGAGAATTTAAAAGAGATGAACTCGATCCAGAAGTACCGGTTACTCCAACAATAGTTATACCATAAACATAACCTTGTATTAAATAGGAACAAAACAAAATTTATTTTTAAACGAAATAAAAAATTTTCAATTTGAAATCAACCTTTTATCCATTGTTGAATTCTATGATTGCCTCTATCAACAACATATAGAGTATCATTTGAATCAACATAAACACCCCATGGACTATTTAAATGAACTTGTGAATTTCCAGTAACACCTATTCCAGCAACCTAAAAAAAACGATAATAAATAAAATAAAATAAATGAAATATAATTATATATTCGTTACCAATCGACCAGCAGTTGTATTACCAGATACCCATAATGTAACTCTATGATTACTATTTTCTGAAACATATGTATTTCCTTGATTATCAACAAAAATTGAATAAACAAAGCCAATTTTATCATATGTTGAACCATTTCCTCTTCCACCAGCAATAGTAAAACCTAATGGTTGATTTGGTAACCATTTTTGAACTCTATAATTAGCAGCATCAGCTATATATAGAACTCCATTTAAATCAACAAATATTGATGTTGGACTATATAATTCTGAATATGCTGAACCACCAGCTAATGTATAACCACCTACTATTGAACTTGCAGCAAAAACTCCTATTTTATCAAAACAAAAAAAAAATTCGTTTCAAAATGAAAATTTTATCCATTTTAACCTATATGAAATTTTTGAATTCTATTATTTCCATAATCAGCAACATAAATATTAAAATTTCCATCAACAAAAACATCAATTGGACTATTTAAATGTATAGATGATGTTCCAGAAGTTGATGATACTCCACCTACAATTAACCAACTTGTATTATAAACACCTGATTGACATGGAGAATTTGATTGTAATGCTAAACAAAAACAATATTTTATTATATATATATATATATAGAAGTATATAGAAGTATCAACATACTTGAAGGTGCTGAAGTTGTTGTTATTGTTGAAGCTAGAAATTTAATTGAAATTTTTTATTATTTATCAATTTATTTATTCTCCTAAAATAAACTTACGACATAAAACATTAAATGATACGATTCGATGGTTTGAAGTATCAGCAACAACAATATTATTTGAAAAATCCCAATGAATTGCAGATGGAGTTGACATTGATCCTGATACAATTGTTATACCATATGTCATTCCTTTAGACCATTGTTGAATTCGTGTATTTCCAGAATCTAATACATACATATTACTATATTGATCAAATATAATAGATGTTGGATTATTAAATTGATATGACCATACACCTGATACTCCACTTTGTCCAGCTACTGTTATACCGACTGCTGATCCTTTTTATTAAAAATCAAACAATTATTAATTATTATAATATGAAAACTATTTACCAAAAATCCATTTTTGAACACGATGATTTAATCGATCAGCAACATATAATGTTTCATTACGATCAACATAAATTCCCCATGGACCATTTAGTTTTTCTGCTGTACTACCAGAACCAGCTCCACCAGCCATCTTTTATTTACAAAAACAAAAACAAAAATATATATTGATAAATATAAATAAAATAATGTAAATTACTAATTGTCCAAGAATATTATTTGATATTGCCCATTTGGTAACACGATTATTTCCATATTCAGATACATAAATATAAGTTTGATTAAAAACAAACATAGCATAACTAACTCCGATTTTATCTAATGTTGTACCTAAACCACGACCATTAACAACAATAGTACCAACTTGATTTCCTAATTCCCATCGAAGAACACGATAATTTGATGTATCTAATATATACATATTATCATTTGAATCAATATAAACTGCAGATGGATTTGAAAGTTGACCTAATGTACTTCCACCAGTTGAAGTTATACCAGCGACTGTTCTTCCTACATTTGATGCTTTAAATAAATAAATAAATATATTAGATTTATATTCAATTATATTGATTTTAAACAAATACCATATGAATATTGTTGAATTCTATGATTAGCATAATCAGCAACATACATTTGTTGATATCTATCAAATGTAAGATGATATGGACTTGAAAGAAATGTTGGCGTGTTTCCAGAAGTTCCTGTTGGACCAACAATTACAGTTGATGTAGAATTCCATTCAGCTGTTGAACATAATGGTATTGAAGTTTGTACTAAACAATTAAATATGTTTAAAAAGACAAAAAAATCAGAAGAAATAAAAGACGCTAACTTGACGGTGAAATTGTTGTTGTTGTTGCAGCTGAAATATATTAACTATTATGTTTAATTCATCTTTTCTTTTTTTTTAATATAAACTTACGACACAATAAATAAAATGATTGAACACGATGATTATTTGTATCAGCTATAAATATATTTCCATAGGAATTTATTCCCATTCCTAATGGATTATTCAATGTTGCTGTTGCAATAGGTGTACCATATGTTGATGATACAACAGTTATACCAAATGTTGAACCTGGAGACCATTTTTGAACTCGTGAATTTCCGGTATCTAATATATAAATAAATCCATATTGATCGACCATAACTCCTGTTGGATTATTCAATAAATATGAAAATGAACCAGAAGTTCCACTTGTATCACCACCAACAGTTATACCATTAGCAGCACCTGTTCGTTTTACAGATTTTAAATCAGATTCATCATTATAAGATTAAATTATAAATACCTGAATCCCATCGTTGAACACGATGATTATTTCTATCAGCAATATATAAACTATAACTACTATCGACATAAATTCCCCATGGATTATTTAATTTATCTGGTGTCGTACCAATACCATTTCCACCAGCAATCTATAAGTTAAATAAATTGAAAATAGAAACAAATATTAAAATTACCAAAGTTCCAATAGTTATATTTCCATTAAACCATTTGGTAACACGATGATTTGAATATTCTGATATATAAATATTATTTTGACTATCAGTAAATATTTCATAACTTGTACCAATTTGAGTAAATGCTGCACCATTACCATTTCCACCAGCAACAATATAACCAAGTTGATCTCCTAATTGCCATCTTAAAACTCTATAATTTGATGTATCCATTATAAACATTGTTCCATTTTGCGTTACACTAATTGCTGTTGGAGAATTCAATTGTGCACGTGAACTTCCAGGTGAACTTGTTGAACCAGCTACTGTTGAAGCTGTATTTGATCCTAATATAAATATAAATAGTTCAATGTTTTTTTTTTAAAAGTATATTTAAAATATTGAAATATTATATAAACCTGGAGGATATCGTTGAATTCTATGATTACTATAATCAACAACATACATATAATTATAAGCATCAAAAGCAACATCATATGGATTATAAAGTAATGTTGCTGTTGATCCATAGGTATTTGTTGAACCAGCTGCTGTTATATATGTTGAATTCCATGTTGCTGTTGAACATAAAGGAATTGTTGATATAGCTATTTAAAACGAATATAATATTAAAATTTAAAATATTATTTTTTTTGTTATTATGTTAATTACTTGGAGGTGGACTCGTTGTTGTTGTTGATCCAACTAAAGATTTTTTCCAAAAAAATGTTTTTATTAAAGAAGAAAAATCTTTTCAATTAGAAATATAACTTACGACATAATAAACTCCATGATAATATTCTATGATTATTTGTATCAGCAATAACAATATTAGCAAAAAGATCAATTTTCATTCCTAATGGAGTGCCCATTGTAGTTGCTATAACAGTTCTACCATAACTATCTCCAGGAAACCATTTTTGAACTCTTGAATTTCCAGAATCTAATACATATAAATAACCATATGGATCCAATAGAATTGATGTTGGACTATTGAATTGATAAGACCAAGGACCTGGATCACTTGTTGAACCAGCTACAGTGACACCAGTGCCTGATCCTTTTAGAGAATTATTTAATAGATGTTATCCTAAAATTTTTTGTTTTTTTTGTTTTCTTAATGTTTACCTGCATTCCAACGTTGAACACGATGATTTCCTCTATCAACAACATAAACTGTTTGATTTGAATCAACATAAACTCCCCATGGTGAATTTAGTTTTTCGTCAGCATTTCCTAAACCATTTCCACCAGCAACCTTTTATTTAAATTAAAATCATTAAAAAGACAAAAATGTTTAAAGAAAACAAAATATTACCAAAGCTCCAGCAGTTATATTTCGGCTAAACCATAGAGTAACACGATTATTTGAATTTTCTGATACATAAATATTATATTGATCATCAACAAAGAATGAATAACTTATACCAATTTGAGTAAATGCTGCACCATTACCATTTCCACCTGCAACAGTATAACCAATTGGATCTCCTAATTGCCATTTAAAAACTCTATAATTTGTTGTATCTAATATAAACATTGTTTGATTAGAACTAACAAATATTCCATATGGATTATATAATTCACTTCTTCCATAACCATTTGTACCTGAATTTCCAGCTACAGTCGTACCAATTGTTTGTCCTAAAAGAAAAATTTATTTTAATTGATAAAAATAAAAAGTCGAATTTTGAATATGTAAACCTGATCGAAATAATTGAATTCTATGATTTAATCTATCAGCAACATACATATTTCCATATCCATCAAAGTCAATATCAGCTGGATTATATAATAATGATGGTGTTGTTCCAAGACTTGATGTTATACCAGCAACTACTGAAAATGTTTGATTCCATGCAGCTGTTGTACAAATTTGATTTTGAGATGATGCTAAACAAATTTTTAATTAAATTTAGTTTTCTTTTTATTAATGATAAGAAAATATAACAATTACTTGGTGGTTGTGTTGTTGTTGTTGTTGATAATGCTAAAAAGAAAATAATCTTGTAATTTCAAATTTTATTCTTTCTACTTATAACAATTTCAAAAACTATCTAAGATTAAAACATAAAAACTTACGACATAATAAAGGAAAAGATAATATTCTATGATAATTTGTATCAGCTATAAATAAATTTCCTGAAAAATCCAACGACATTCCAGTTGGATTACTCATTGTTGTTGATAATATTGTTATTCCATATGGATTTCCTGGATACCATTTTTGAACTCTTACATTACTAGTATCCAAAACATAAATATAACCATATGGATCAAGTATAATGGATGTTGGATTATTAAATTGATATGACCATGGACCAGCATCACTAGTTGAACCAGCTACAGTTGTTGCAAGACTTGCACCTTTAAAGATAAAGAATTTTTTTTAAATTATTTTTATAGAAAGAACAAAAAATTTTTAATTAAAATACCAGATGGCCAATACTGAACACGATGATTACCACGATCAACAATATATATTCCATTTCTATTATCAACATAAATTCCCCATGGTGAATTTAATTTCTCAGCTGTACTTCCAACACCATTTCCACCAGCAACCTTTAATTAAAATAAATATATATCAAGTAAAAAATCAATATATATATATATATATTAAATTACTAATAATCCAGCAGTATTATTTCCATTATACCATAGTGTAATTCGATTATTTGCATATTCAGATACATAAATATTAGAATTATTATCGAGAAAAAATCCATGACTTCTTCCTATTTTATCAAATGTTGAACCAGAACCTCGACCATTAACTATTGTTGTACCCATTGATTCTCCAATATACCATTTTAAAACGCGATAATTATAAGTATCTAATATATACATTGTTTGATTTGTATCAACATATACACCTGATGGATTATTTAATTCTGAACGTCCACTACCCGATAATAGATTAAAACCAGCTACTGTTGTTCCTATATTTGATCCTAAAAAGATTTTTTTATCTTTTTCTTTCTTTAAAATTTCAAATAGTAAATAAAACCTTGTTGAAATCTTTGAATTCTATGATTATTATAATCAACAACATAGATATATCCATATCCATCGAAAGTCATACCATATGGAGAAGATAATAATGTTGATGTTGAACCAACAGTTGATGTTGAACCAGCTACTGTTGTAAATGTTGAATTCCAAATTGCAGTTGAACATAATGGAATTTGAGTTTGAGCTATTTTATTAATTATTATTAAATATTTTCTTAAAATTCAAATAAAACTTACGTAATGGTAATGTTGTTGTTGTTGTTGATGCAGCTAAAAAAGCAAAAAAAATAAAAAAAAAAATTTTATTTAATTAGAAGATTACTAATGTAGTTTTTGAATAGAAAATTAAAAAAAAATTGTCAACTTACGACACGCTACACTAAATGAAATAACACGATGATTATTTGTATCAACTACAACTAAATTGCCAAGACGATCAAATTTCAATCCCCTTGGTAAAATCATTGATCCTAATGCAACAGTTATACCATAACTTGCACCAGGATACCATTTTTGAATTCTTTGATTAGTGTAATCACATATATACATATAACCATATTGATCTAATGTAATTGATGTTGGATTATTGAATTGATATGCCCATGGACCTGGATCACTTGTTGAACCAGCAACTGTTAAACCACCATTGATTCCTAAAAATAAAAAAAAAGAAACAAGAATTTTTTTTTGTATCAAATTTAATCACTAAAAAGTAAATCTGATAAATAGACAAACCAGAATCCCATTTTTGCACGCGATGATTTCCACGATCAACAACATAAATTGATCCATTAACACTAATATAAAGTCCCCATGGTGAATTTAGTTTTTCTGCTGTATTTCCTAAACCATTACCACCAGCAACCTTTCATTTCAAATAATAATAAAAAATAATAGAAAATTTTCGAATAAAAACTAATTATTACCAAAGTTCCAACAGTTGTATTACCATTAAACCATTTTGTAACACGATGATTTGAATTTTCTGATATATAAATATTATATTCATTGTCAGCAAATATTCCATAACTTGCACCAATTTGTGTATATGCTGCACCATTACCATTTCCACCAGCAATAATATAACCTAATGTGTCACCAACTTGCCATCGTAAAACTCTATAATTTGATGTATCCATTATAAACATTGTTCCATTTGCTGATACACTAATTGATGTTGGATTATATAATTCTGAACGTGAACTTCCACCTCCAGGTGAATATCCAGCTACTGTTGCAGCAGAAAATCTTCCTAAAAACAAAATGAACAAAAAAACGATAAGATGTTCTTAATAGAAAATCAATTTAAATTAACCAAATGGATATCTTTGAATTCTATGATTATTATAATCAACAATATACATATTTCCATATGCATCAAAATCCACATCATACGGAGTATTAAGTAATGTTGATGTTGATCCAGATGCTGATATTGATCCAGCTATTGTAGAAGATGTTTGATTCCATATAGCTGTTGGACATAATGGAACTATTGATTGAGCTATTTTATTAGAAAACAAAAAAGAAAGAACATTTTTGTTAATTTTCATTTTATGAAAAAAAAAACTATAACCGACTTGCTGGTGAAGGCGTCGTTGTTGTTGGAGCCGCTTAAATAAACAAATATTGATGTTATTAAAGGACTCAGAAGATAATTATTGGAACGAAAAAAAGACAAAAAAAAAAATTTTAAATTAAACAAGAACTTACCACACATAACACTAAATGAAAGAACACGATGATAAGATGTATCAGCTACAATTAGATTTCCATGTGAATCCATTGTCATACCATATGGATTATACATATTTGCTGCTGCAACAGTCACACCAAAAGGTGCATTTGGAAGCCATTTTTGAATTCTTTCATTAGTAAAATCCATAACATAAATATAACCATATATATCTAATGTAATTGATGTTGGATTATTGAATTGATAAGACCAAGGACCTGGATCACTTGTTGAACCAGCTACTGTTGTACCAAAACTTGCTCCTGAAAAAAAAAACTTTATTTAATTAATAATTCATTGATAGAATTGATTTTTCTACTATATGACCAATATTGGACACGATGATTGCTGCGATCAACAATATACATTCCACCACTATTATCAACATAAATTCCCCATGGATAATTCAATTTTTCTGCTGTACTTCCCACACCATTTCCACCAGCAATCTATAAGTTAAATAAATTGAAAATAGAAACAAATATTAAAATTACCAAAGTTCCAATAGTTGTATTTCCATTAAACCATTTGGTAACACGATGATTTGAATTTTCTGATATATAAACATTAAATTGATTATCAACAAATAATTCATAACTTGTACCAATTTGAGTAAATGCTGCACCATTACCATTTCCACCAGCAACAATATAACCTAATGTGTCACCAACTACCCATCGTAAAACTCTATAATTTGATGTATCCATTATAAACATTGTTCCATTTTGTGTTATACTAATTGCTGTTGGATAATTCAATTGTGCACGTGGACTTCCAGCTAAACCTGTTGAACCAGCTACAGTTGTACCAGTAGAAGATCCTGAAATAATTTTTAAGCAAAAACAAAAAAAAAAGTTATATTTCCTTTTAATTCTAACATAAATGAAACCTGGTTGAAATCTTTGAATTCTATGATTAGTATAATCAACAACATACATATTTCCATAACCATCATAATCAATGTCATATGGATTGTATAATGATTGTGATGTTGATCCAGCATTTGATGTTGAACCAGCTATAATTGACATTGTTTGATTCCAAACAGCTGTTGAACATAGTGGTATTGTTGTTAAAACTAACAAAATATTTATAGAAACATTTTTTCACCTTTTTTTTTTATTAAAAATTATTTTACATGGTGGTGCTATTGTTGTTGTTGTTGGTGAAGCTATATATATCAAAAATAATGTTTAGTTTTTCTAATAAAATCTTTATTGTAATTATCGAAAAGAAAATTATAAAAATAAACTTTTCTGTACATTTTCAAACTTGTTTTTTTTTGTCTTAATGTTTAAATAATAGAATCGAATCAATTTTGAATATATAAATGAAATATTTGAAATTAGAAAATAAAACTTACGACAGAGAAGAGTAAAAGAAATAATTCTATGATAACTTGTATCAGCTACAACTAAATTGCCAAGACGATCAAATGTCATTCCAATTGGTAAATTCATTGATCCTAATGCAACAGTTACACCATAACTTGAACCGGGATACCATTTTTGAACTCTGTTATTATTAGAATCTAATATATACATATAACCATAAGGATCAAATGTAATTGATGTTGGACTATTGAATTGATATGACCATGGACCTGAGTCACTTGTTGAACCAGCTACTGTGAAACCAACACTGGCACCTTTTATACAATTATTTTATAGATTTTATTTTAAATTTTTTGTTTTTATTTTTTTTTACCTGTATCCCATCGCTGAACACGATGATTTCCTCTATCAACAACAAACTTAGTTCCATTTCCATCGACATAAATTCCCCATGGTGAATTCAGTTTATCTGCTGTATTTCCCACACCATTTCCACCAGCAACCTTGTATTAAATAAATCAATATAAAAAGTTAATTTTTTAAGAAAAATAAAAACAAAGAATTACTAAAGTTCCAGCAGTTGTATTTCCATTAACCCATTTCGTAACACGATGATTTGTTTGTTCAGATATATAAATATTATAATTTAAATCAACAAACATTCCATAACTGGTACCCATTTGAGTAAATGCTGCACCATTACCATTTCCACCAGCAACAATATAACCTAATGTGTCACCAACTTGCCATTTTAATATTCTATAATTATCTGTGTCTAAAATATACATTGCTTGATTTGGACTAACAAAAATCATTGTTGGATAACGCAGTTGTGAACGAGAACTTCCAGCTAAACTTGACGAACCAGCTACTGTTGTACCAGCATTTGAACCTAAATTATTGAAAATGGAATAACTTTTATTTAAATATTTCATATAAACCTGGAGGAAATTTTTGAATCCTATGATTATAATAATCAACAACATACATATTCTCATAACCATCAAAATCAATATCATATGGATAATAAAGTAATGTTGATGTTGATGAAGCAGTTGACATTGATCCAGCTAATGTTGAAAATGTTTGATTCCATATGGCTGTTTGACATACAGATCTTGTTGTGTGAGCTATTCACGTATAAATAAAAACAATTTTAGTCAATTTATCGTAAAAAAAAACCAAAATGACTGACTTGGTGGTAATGTTGTTGTTGTTGTTGGTGAAGCTAAAATAAAAACAGAACATTAATATTCTTTTTTTGGAACAAACGAAATCTTTCATCACTCATTTAAATATTCAAGTATTTAGAAAAAGAAAAACTTACGACACATCATATTGAATGATATAACACGATGATAGGATGTATCTGATATAATAATATTACCAGAATGATCAAATCGCATTGCCAATGGAGAAGCCATTGTTGTTGATACAACTGTTATACCGTATTGAGCTCCTGCAGCCCATTTTTGAACTCTGTCATTATTATAATCTAATATATACATATAATTATACGGATCCATCGTAATTGACGTTGGAGTATCAAATTGATATGACCATGGGCCTGGATCACTTGTTGAACCAGCTACTGTTGTAGCAAGACTTGCACCTAGAATTAAATTTTTATGACATACAAAATAAAATCTAATTATATATTTTGTATACCAAAATCCCATTTTTGCACTCGATGATTTCCTTGATCAACAATATATATAGAATTATTATTAACTAAAATTCCCCAAGGACTAGATAATTTATCTGCTGTACTACCAACACCATTTCCACCAGCAACCTATAAGTTAAATAAATTCAAAATGGAAAGAAATCTTAAAATTACCAAAGCTCCAGAAGTTGCATTATTAATAGACCATTTTGTTATTCTATTATTACTATATTCTGATATGTAAATATTGTACTGACCATCAACGAAGATAGCATAACTTACACCAATTTGAGTAAATGCTGCACCATTACCATTTCCACCAGCAACAATATAACCCATTGGATCTCCAACTTGCCATTTCAAAACTCTATAATTTGTTGTATCTAATATAAACATTGTTCGATTACGAGTAACATGTAAACCATATGGATTGTAAAGTTGTCCTCGTGAACTTCCCCAAGAACTTGTTACACCAGCTACAGTTGTACCAACATTTGATCCTTAAAATAAATATTTTATAGATACACTTATATTAAATAGTTAATTTCTAAACCTGGAGGATATTGTTGAATTCTATGATTACTTATATCAGCAATATACATATATCCATATCCATCAAAAGCAATACCTGATGGACTATACAATAATGTTGTTGTTGAACCATATGTACCCATTGATCCAACTAACGTAGAAAATGTTTGATTCCAAACAGCTGTAGAACATACTGGAATTGTTGCTTGAACTATTTTATATTAGAATTAATCAAAGATTTATTTCAGATATTAAAAAAACCTACATGGTGGTGCCGTTGTTGTTGTTGTTGTACCAGCTTAAAATTAAAAAAACAAACAAACATTTTTTATTTCTCAAATTTTCTATAAAATTTTCAATTAATTATTTCTCATTAAACTATTCTAATCCTCTTATTAGAAAAATATAAATTATGTTAAACTTACGACATGTCATAGCAAAAGATAGAATTCGATGATTATTTGTATCACTAACAACAAGATTTCCTTGATTATCAGCATGCAATCCACTTGGACTACTCATGGATGTTGCTATTATTGTTATGCCATAAGTTGCACCTGGAAACCATTTTTGAATACGTAAATTTGACGAATCTAATACATATATATAACCATATGGATCAACTGTTACGCCTCTTGGAGTATTTAATTGATATGCATATGGACCTGGATCACCAGTTGTACCAGCAACTGTTCTAGCACTGAGTGCTCCTTTAATTATTTAAAATTATTAAATTTAAATAATTATATAATATTGTACTCACCAGATTGCCAAAATTGAACTCGATGATTTGATGCATCACATATATACATTGATCCATTAATATCAACATAAATACCCCAAGGATTATTTAATCTTTCTGATGTACTTCCTGCACCATTTCCACCAGCAACCTTTATTTAAATAATTAAATAAATCAATATAGAATTATTAAACGATAGATACATACTAATATTCCTGATGTTGTATTTGTTGATAACCATAATGTTATTCTATGATTACTATATTCAGATACATAGATATTTGATTGACTATCAACAAACATGGCATAACTTGTTGTTATTTGAGTTAATAGTGTACCACCTCCATTTCCACCAGCAACAACATGACCAAATGGTTCACCAAATTGCCATCGTAAAACTCTATAATTATTTGTATCTAATATATACATAACTCGATTTGAACCAACATAAATTGCACGTGGATTATAGAATTGTGCATAGGTACTACCAAAAGAACCGGAACTTCCAGCTACAGTTATACCTGTTGATGTTCCTAAAAAAAGAAAAAAAAACCGAAATTTACTATGAAAATATATAGGATAAATAAACTATGAAATATACCGCGTGGAAAATATTGAATTCTATGATTCGATGTGTCAGCAACATATAAGTCTTGATATCCATCCAAGATAGCATCATTTGGAGAATATAATAATATGGATGTTGTTCCTGCACTTGATGTTATTCCAGCCAAAATTGAAAATGTTTGATTCCATTGAGCTGTTGAACATATTGGTGTTGGTGATAAAGCTTTTCAATCCAAATTAAATATTAAATATCTTTAAAAACAAAAAAAGAGATCCATGACTTACTCGGTGGAGCTGTTGTTGTTGTTGTTGTACCAGCTAAAATTTGAAAATTTATCTCATAAATAGAAAAAAAAGATTGTATATAGCAACTTACGACAAAAAACAGCAAAGGATACAATTCGATGAGAAGCAGTATCAGCTATAACAAGATTGTTAAGACGATCAAATTGCATTCCACAGGGATTATTAAGCGATGCTGATATAACTGTTGTTCCATAAGATGCACCTGGAAACCATTTTTGAACTCGATCATTACCGTAATCCAATATATACAAATAACCATATTGATCTAACAACAATGCTGTTGGACTACTCAATTGATAAGCCCATGGACCTGCATCACTAGTTGTCCCAGCAACTGTTCTACCGTTGATTTGTCCTATTTAATTGTTCATTAATTAGTTACAAATTTATATATTACTCACCATTAAACCATAGTTGTACTCGATGATTACTTCTATCAACAATGTACATTGCTTGATTAGAATCGACATAAATACCCCAAGGATTATTTAATCTTTCTGGTGTACTTCCTGCACCATTTCCACCAGCAACCTTTAATCAAATAATAAAATAATCAATATAAAATTATTAAACAATAAATACGTACTAATGATCCCGATGTTGTATTTATTGATAACCATAGTGTTACTCTATGATTACTATATTCCGATACATAGATATTCGATTGACTATCAATAAACATGGCATAACTTGTTGTTATTTGATTTAATGCTGTACCAGCTCCATTTCCACCAGCAACAAGATAACCACGTGGTTCACCAAATTGCCATCGTAAAACTCTATAATTATTTGTATCTAATATATACATAACTCGATTTGAATCAACATAAACGGCATATGGATTATTTAATTGTCCATAGTTACTAGCAGCAGAACCTAAACTTCCAGCTACAGTTATACCTGTTAATGTTCCTGAAAAAGAAGAAAAAAAACAATCAAGAGTAAATATGAATATGTATATATATATAGGATAAATAAAAAATGAAATATACCACGTGGATAATATTGAATTCTATGATTCGATGTATCAGCAATGTATAAATTTTGATATCCATCAAAATAAATATTATTTGGATTATATAATAAAATTGCTGGATTTACTATATTCGATATTGTTAAAGCTATTCCAGCTATTACAGATAATGTTTGATTCCATTGAGCTGTTGGACATAATGAAGCTTGTGGTGTAGCTATTCATAAAAAAGAAAAGAAAAACAAATATTTATTGTAATCAATATTTAAAAACTAACTTGGTGGTGATATTGTTGTTGTTGTTGTTACATTAGCTAAAATTTAAATAAAGAATTCTTTTATACCAAGAAGAAAATTTTAAAAAAAATTTATAGTTAAAAGTAAAACTCAACTTACAACACGTCATAGCAAAAGATAGAATTCGATGATTATTTGTATCGGTAATAATAATATTTCCACGACGATCAAATATGAATCCATATGGACTATTCATTGGTGCTAATATAACTGTTGTTCCAAAAGCTGCTCCCGGTAACCATTTTTGAACACGAATATTTGTGGTATCCAAAATATACATATAACCATATGGATCGAAAGTAATTTCACTAGGATAATTGAATTGATATGACCAAGGACCTGGATCACTTGTTGCACCAGCTACAGTTATACCTGACATCGCTCCTAAAAAATAATTCATTTATTTAAATAATATGAAAAATTTTTTAATTTACCTGGATCCCAACGTTGTACTCTATGATTATATTTATCAACAACAAAAAGTACTTGATTTGAATCAACATAGACTCCCCATGGACGATAAAGTTTCTCTGATGTACTTCCAGAACCATATCCACCAGCAATCTTAAACAAAAAACAAATCAAATAAATAGAAGAATTTTTCTAATTAATAAATAAAATACTGGAGTTCCAGCTGATGTATTGGTTGGTGACCATAATGTAACTCTATGATTTCCATACTCTGATATATAAATATTATATTGATTATCAATAAACATAGAATAACTATTATCAATTTGAGTTAATGCTGATCCACAACCATGATCACCAGCAATAGGATAACTAAGTGGATCTCCAGGAGTCCATCGTAGTACACGACAATTACCTCTATCTAATATGTACATTATTCTATTTGAATCAACATAGATATATGATGGAGTATTTAATTGAGAATAACTTGAGCCACCGTTTGATGTTATGCCAGCAATTGTTGTTGCTGTTGTTGAACCTATTTTGAAATGATAATAATGAATTATTTTATTTTAAAATTCTTATTTTATTTTAACCTCTTCGAAAATATTGAATTCTATGATTATTATAATCAACAACATAAAGATTTCCATATATATCAATAAATGAACTATATGGATTGTAAAGTAAAGTTGGTAATGATCCACTATTTCCTGATGATCCAGCTAAAACTGTAAAAGTTTGATTCCAAGCAGCTGTTTGACACACTGGTATTGCTACTTGAGCTATTTAAATAGAGAATGTTTTTATTTATTCAAGTATTTTAAAAAATGACGAGATATATTACGTGTTGGCTGTGTTGTTGTTGTTGCATTTGGTGCTGAAATTAATAAAAAGAAATAAATAAAAGAAAATTTATTGCTATTTATTAACATAATTTAAACAAGAAATATAGTCTTAATAATAATTATTTTTTTCTTTTTAATCATATTTCAATGAATTATTCAATATTAAAATTTTATAAAAACTTGTTTATTATAATAGTATTTTTCAATATAAAACTAAGACTTACCACATGACATAGCAAATGAAATAATTTTATGAGAGCCAGAATCAGCAACTATCATATTTCCAGAAGAATCAAAAGTTAATCCTCGTGGAGTAGACATTGTTGTTGCTACAACAGTTATCCCGTAGTCTGCTCCAGGAACCCAACGTTGAATTCTCTGATTGTTACCATCAAGAATATAAAGATAATTATATTGATCATATATAACCGATGATGGATAACTTAATTGATATGACCATGGACCTGATACGCCTGACTGGCCTGCAACTGTGTTACCTATAGCTGCACCTATATTTTATAATAATATTATTAATAAAATATTATTAATTATATTGAATAAATTTAACGAACCGGGGTACCATTGTTGAATACGATGGTTGTAACTATCGGCAACATATAAGATTCCCGTATTGTCAACATAGATTCCAAGAGGATAATACAGTTGATATGATGCGCTTGAAGCTCCGTATCCACCCGCAACCTTTAATATAAAAAAAAAAAATTAAAAAATAAATCATTGAAAAAAAACTAATACCAATTGACTCATATTTGGATTTCCAGCTGACCATAAGACAACACGATGATTTGCATTATCTGATAAATATATATTAGAAGATGAATCAATAAACATAGAATAACTTGTCGACATTTTGTCATATGTTGAACCGGAACCACGACCACCAGCTACTACTGTAACAACGCTATTATTCCAACGCAATACTCTGTAATTGTTAGTATCCAATATATATAGAACATTATTATTGTCAACATAAACATCACATGGATATGATAAAGATAAACCTGGCACTACTGTTCCTGTTGGTGATCCACCAACATATTTTTGTATGCGATGATTATATTGATCAGCTACATACAGGGTATTACTTGTATCAAACACAGCACGATATGGATAATAAAGTGTTGTTGTTGTACTTGCTGCTACTCCTATGCCTGCTAATATTCGAAAAGTACTATTCCAAACGCCTGTTGGACATACTACTGTTGATTGTGCTAAAATTATAAACAATTTATTTGCATAACATATCACAAAATTTAAATTGGATATTATCCAATTATAACAATTATTGTTTTGAATAGACTTTCTACTATACAGATTCTAAATAAATTCGATAAACTACGTGAAATAAGTGGTCATAAAAATCATATTCCCAACTTGAAGTTGATCAAGTTGTTATCCAAAATGATCTCGGTGAACTCTAATCTGAACTTCAACATCCCAACATGATAGTAAAATAAATGCGGAAACTTCGGATTTAAATCCGAGAGTTATGTGTACTGAAGAAAAGTGAATGAGACAGATGAGTCGTTCTAGAACGTGTGGACATCAAAATTATACTGGGGAACCTACCCTCTAAACTGTTGATTTCTATTGAGTATTGCCAAACCAATAAGACTTGGGACCGAATGCAGAGAAAATTTCAACTCTTCCCCTTCATTTATCCTAAGAAAGGCGTTTTTCCTATAACTTGATTTCTATTGGTCACTGCCCAACCAATAGTATTTCGATGGAAGTGGAATACAGATTCGAGTTCTCCATCTCAGAAAACCTCGAAGTATCATCACTGTGATAGGAAGATAGAGTTCTATTTGTGGATCAATTAGATCGTGGACAAAAATCTAATCTAGTTCTCTTTAATTATCTTTATGATAGATGAGCCAACCTTCTTGTTTCTTTATGTTTTATATACCATTTTGTAGCTCGTGAAATTCTCTATCCAATGGTATATAATAGTTGGGGTTTTAGTTGACTATTCAAGGAAAAGTCTTTTACGAAAGTGGGGATGGGTCGATCTTTCCATAGGGAAGGTGCAGGGAAAAATGAGTATTTTTGCAATAACTCAGGAAGGACTCGGCCAATCCTTCTCATCTTCTTCTCTCGACCGAGATATTGTTAAGACTGAACTGTGTAGAAAATTTCATCGCGATCGGACTCTCCTTTCGAAAGTTATCGTGTTAACGGCCGGACGGCCGGACACACTGACCGATTCTAGAGTGTACTCACTTTTTGAGTACACAAAAAGGATGATTTTATGTCACATAAAAATCTCTTTTCTTTTACTTTTCTGCAAGCAGTAAAAAATAGCGCTTCTCATCGAATTTAACAATATTTGGAAAAAGACTTTGAACTTCATAAAAAGGTCGGAATATGAAGAAAAAACAGTCTTTTGATCCTTGTTCTAATCGGAGGATTATGCTCATGATAATTTTGAAACGATAAAATTTCTTTCAATATTTTACAGTTTTAACTTTCTTATTAGGGAGTCAAGACGCAGTTTTCTTTGTATTTAAACGTGTTAGAAAAAATATAATATTTTCTTTATTTTGAATAGTTTAGAAATTCATTTGATTATTCGGATATCTGCATGAATGATATCATATTTAATAAGGATTATGATGATTTTCTTTCAATTGAATACTTTCTCTTTTTACCATCGATTGAGTAGAGATGATTTTTTTTCTCTAAATATCTATCTATTTATCGAACTGATCGAACCAATTAGAAGAAAAATATTTTATAAAAAAAAAAGGCTTTAACAATCATTCGACTTCAAAAATTTATTATTAGCCAAAATGAAACTCAGTTGGAAATTATCACTAATTAGAATGAGTCATCAATATTTCATCGTAACTGTTATATTCATTATAGTCACAATGTTATGTTTCATATAGTTGATTTTTTAAAACTTTTCATAGTTTACTCTAGAAAGAATGAATCGAATACCTTCCTCTAATAAGTCTATAGTGACAAGATTAAATCTTTCTAGAATGAACTTTTTATCATAAAGAAATATTGTTGAATGATCAAGGACTTCCCAAGTCGTTGTTTTCATGAGAGTTGAAACCTGAATGAGATTATAATTGAAGTCTATAAAGGTTCATGTAGGTTTTTATTGTGATATTAGTTTTCCCACATTAGCAAAGGTTAGAAGGCTGAAAACTTCGTATCCATTTGAGTCAACAAATTCTGCAGGTTACAATCTTTTCACGTGTGTGGAACTTGCATAAATTTTCGAAGAAAATAATGACTGTAAGTCTTACACTTTAGCAAGGAAGAAAGGCACTAAATGGCATTAATAACAAAATTTTGACTATTCTAGAACATTTCAAAGTTCCTTTTGTGAATATTCTAAATAGTGCGATTTTCTAATTTTTGCACACGTTAAAAATTTATATTTAAGGTGACATGGAGATCTTATCGAGATATGCAATAATGTATCGAGCTCTAGTGTAGATATAATGAATATGTATAATGGACTTATTTGCCGGTTAGATTAAGAAAAACGGAATAGAAAAATGAAGAACAACAGGCAAATAAAAAAAAACAGATTGTCAATAATAAAAAAGAAAAAAATCTCTGTTCGAAACTCACAAGTACGTAAAAGATAGTGTTCCTGGCGATGGACGATACTTGGAAAACAACTAAAGTCTACGAGAGATTTTTCACTTCAAGTATTTTCTATTAGTATAAGGTGGCTAAAGAACATACGTGAGTTTCAAATTTCAGCTCCAAAGGAACTGTACTAGCAAGCTTTTTTGTACAAACTTTAAAAAAGAAAAATATCCACATTTGCTTGCATTATCAAAGAGAGAGTCTTATAACAAACGATAAAATAAATCCGTTTAATCTAATCATTTGCAACATAAATTACATTTAAGAGAAGAAGAAATATTAAATTTCCCAAAGGAATTTTTTTTTCTAGTGAAGTAAATGTTCTAAATTGTAGAAAGTAATCACTATTTATCATTTCACTTTGCCACATTTCTAATCAGACTTTTGAATATGTCTTATAAAATTTTTAATTAGAATTTATCAAATTCTATTTTCAATAACTTTCCAAGTTCTATCTAGACACATTATTTCCAAGTTCTTGCCAATGTTTTGTCATTTTGACTGAAATATTTAAAAAAGCATGTTAGAATATGACTTCATTAAACCATTCAGATTTATTGCTATATGATTGTTGAAGACACATGTCTAACGTACATAAGATATTCACAAGAAATGTTTTGAAAAGTGAACCCTAGATTGTCTATGCTGTATCTTTCTCCATATCTCGAAAGTGCTTTCTAGCGGAATATTATATGACCTTTAAATAGTACCAGCTGAATAATAGTACATTCAGCAAAAGATAATTGTCTTTATCAAACAATATGGTAGACAATAGGCAAGATGCAGCCGTGATACATCAAACATCCTATATCATAGGTTGATGATCACGTGTTTTACTTATTAAAACTGTAATAGTTTGACATTAGTACTGATCCTATCAAATGTGAATAGGTTCTTTTGATACAAAGTAATCTCCTGAAGTCAACATAGTAACGGTGGTTTTTTCAGAGTTGCATGAGGCATGGCAATACCAATAAAACGATGAAACCAATGAGAACATGAAGAACCTACGGTGATGATCGATGTATTAGTACTACTGACTTCTCTTAGCAGAAAGGCATGTGAATAATGGAAAGAACTAGTCATCGTCATAGGTTTCTCACGTGTTCACCAGCTAAACCAATATAAACGGTGAGGTATGAAAGTGCATCTTCCTATAGTTCTAACAGATTTTTCCATTTTCCAATACATTCACACTAGCAGATATTAGCTGTATGACAAGACTAGTCATTACTCTATTCTGCACGTGTTCATTAGCCCTACTAGTCAAACTCGTCGTTTCGTTTCCAACAATTTAGAGATACACTGACTTCATCTGCGATTTTTGACTAGGAATTGGTCGAAATTAATTGAAAGTTGAATAAGACGGATTGAAATTCGAATTAGTCGGAATGAGAATTGATTAGAGGAGGAAAGTCACCATTACATAGACAGTTACATTATCAGTTAGTAGGTAACGAAAAATTCCTGCATTTGATTCATTTCTCAAGGCAAAATCATTATATGGAAATAGTAATTTCTTATAAAGTTTGACCAAAAGCATTTGAGGTCGAGGAATCCAAATCTGTAATCAGTTTTTCGGAATTCTTTACTTGGTTTCTCAGTAAAGTTTCTTCTACCCTAAAAAAACTTTGGTCAAACTTTATGAAAAAAAATCGTTATTTTCGTATAATAGCCTTGCCTTGATGGAAGAACCAAATGCAGAAATTTTCCATTACCCAATAACTGATAAAGTCATTGTTTGTGTAACGGTAGCTTCGAACCTTTAGCCGATTTCAATTCCTAGTAATAGCCGCCGTAGTACGTTCGGACCTTTGCTCCCGGTACACCATGTAACAGTGAGCCGGTGGACGATGGATCGGTGAACTATCGTTCACTGTTGCATGCCTACTATCGCATATGAGTATCTGCAACGATAAAATTCTCGCAGTGTCCCGTATGTGTCAATTCAAAGTATAAAAAGTCGTGTTTTCATGCGTATGCTTATGACCTGCACCTTTCTGCAAAATTATTGTACTACATTTATACACAACAGTTACGAATATTTAAAGTAACTTGCATGTTTCTACATGATACACATGAAGTTAAAAACTATTTTGTAAATAAACACAAGTTTTTGATAATTTTCCGCAAATATATGCACTCGTTTTCAGACTTTCGCGTTTGACTGAGTATCTGATTGTTTGCTAGAATCATTTTTATATTCTAGTGAACATACATTTGATCGTAGTGAAAACAATACATCATCAGATGCTCTTTCAAATTGATCTATTTTTTAACTGCTAACTGAGTTGAATAAAGAAAGTAATAGTTTTTATGGAATGTTACGTTGCACAGTTATCGAGTTTAATGGATTTAAATGTTCAGAAACATTCTTTAATGTGGCTTGGTCTGCATGTTGGAAAAAAGTAGCCCACGGACAATTCTGTTATGGATATAATAATTAAAATCATTTTAACTATTTTCAGTCCTTTTACAGAAGAAAAGTAATAAAAAAATCTAAATACATACTGTATACTGATTCGGAAAAAATTCTGAATTTAATAAATAAAAAAAAAAAGAAACAAATCAGTATTGAAAAGAAATTCTTTTGTAAGAGACTTACAAGAGCACCAATACGACAACATACAATTGGTATTGTAGTTGGATTTTCATTGCTAAAAAGCAAATTAAAAATAGTATTAAAAAACTGTTTATCAATCTAAAATATAAATAATATTGTCATGTGATATACTAGATAGATTGATATGAAGTAACCAATATTCTGTTTGTTCGACACCGTTGTTTGATCGTTATTATTTAAATGTTTGTCGCAATGAAAGTGAAAAATTCATATGAAAGTGAAATAGTGACTGCTTGTTTTTTAAATATATCGTGTTTTTTTAAGTGAATTTCGTTAATGGAAGAGTAACAAAACAAATTTCAATTATCAAAAGAACAAAACCTTTTAACATAAAAGAGACAGATATTATTAACATACAAAACAGAAATTGATCAAAACAACATGTTGTGATACTTCCATTACCTAGTTCATTTTATTGATTCTCGCTCTCCTTTTGTTTTTTTTACATCAATGGTTGTTCAGAAGTCACGTGATTGTTGGTGCAATCTGAGACGTAGATGATCAGTATCTAAAACTTTCAAGGATTTGTTTAAAATTTTCTTTCCA